AATTTTCTCTTCTAAGCAAGATCATTGGAGATGGATTTGTGATAAGGATGGTGTATTCTCAGTGAAAAGTGCGTACCTTTGGCTGCAACGTTCGTTGGGTGGAGAACTTAGATATTCCTCAGATTTTCATCTAGTCATAAAAAGTCTTTGGAAATGCAAGGCTCCAATCAAGTGCTTGGTGTTCTGTTAGTAGGTGTTCATGAATGCACTCCCGTGCAAATCATTGTTACAAATACGTGGTGTGGAGTTGGATAACAATTTATGTTCTCTTTGTTCTCTGTTTGTCGAAGCCCCTCTTCATCTCTTTCTAATGCGTTCAATGACCGTTAATACTTGGTTAGCTATTGCTCATTGGTTGGAGGTTGCGGTGGTCCTTCCAAATTCTTTAATTTCTCTCTATCTATATTGGACGAATCTTGGTATATATAAAAAACGCTCTCAGTGTTTTCAAGTAGTTTGAGTTTCTGTAATCTGGTCACTATGGTTTCATCGGAATGTTATTATCTTTCAGCAAGGTGTTACGGATTATAAGGAAGTGTTGGATAGCATTAAACTGCGTTCATGGAAGTTGATTACTAGTTCTGTCTCCGGTTATTCTTTTAGTTACATTAGTTGGTATTATAACTCGGGTTTATGTATCTCATAATTTTTGCTTTGATTTTAAATTCTATTATAACGGGTTGGAGTACCCCTTGTACTCCCAATAATTTAAATCTTTTTGCTTATAAAAAAAAAACTTACTAGTCATTCATATATGATTATTATTTTCTGCCTCGGGGATTTCCAGCTCACAAAGTCAGATTAATCTCACTTGTAATGTTATGACTCACAAAAATCGAATATAAGATTTTCATCTAAACAAATTGTCTGCACACATGAGTGTAGAATAGTTACTCACTATGTCAACTTATTGAGTTAGTCACTCGTATATGATGGCTAAGAAGTGCAGATTGGCAAGAAATCAATCTCACCTTGTCAAAAACTAATATCACTCTCTATATTGTGATTGTTGCCGATATAAAGAATTTTTGCACATGATGTTGATTAAACACGAAATTTTCAACTAAACAGATTGTTCATATATGTGAGTGCAAATTATCTAACCACTATTACATCAACTCATTGGATTAGTTACTCTTATATGATGCTGTTGAGAAGTGGGGGTTGGCAAGAAATCAACCTCCTTAATTCACTTTTTTTTTTAATCCCTAAATCAGTCTCTAGTTAGTGAATTTCTACTAGTGCTGATCTAATTGCCGAAGATGAGCTCAACTTATTCCATCCCTTGACCCCATTTTTAGAGTCCTAAAAAAAAGTTAGTGTTCCTTTGGCTGGTGTCTTATGATAAAGTTGTCACACAAATCATAAGAGGAGAAGAGGCACGTTCTCAGATAATACATGACTTGTCGTCATTGTATGTCTTGTCTTGAGTCTCTCATGCATGTGCTATGGTACTGTGAGAGTACTATGGTTATGTGTGGTCCATGCTTGTTACTCAGTTGTCCCTCGATTTTGGAGTACGTTTTTTCAACTTGGGTCTGAGATTGACTGTTTGTTTGCTGATCTAACATTCTATCTCAAAAATGGGTTATTAAGAATTCTCATGATTATTGGAACAATATTTTTTTATAGCAAGGTTTTAAAAAATAGCCTGAAACTTTCATTTCTGGCATTAAAGTTTTTGAGCTCTCCATATAATTGTATTGTGAAGCTTTTATAGTTAGGGATTTTCCCCATCTTACTATGGACAAATTTGTGAAGGGTTCTTCTTGTGGAGGATTGTTACAAAGAGATGGTTCCTTCCTTAAATGGACTCAATTTAGCTACATGTTTTGTTTAATGTCGACTCATCTAAAATCATTTAAGATGTCAATTAATGTAGGTTTCTTTTTTTTTTATTTATAAATATTTACATATTTAATTAATTCTACGTTAAAAAATATAATTTTGAGTTTAAATAAATTTTGACCGAATACAAATTTTATATTGAGTTTTACAACTAACATAATTTTAGAACAAAATCATCCAAACATAAATTGTTTCACTTAAAAAATTAATTTTGCATATCATCACCCCATCCCTAACGGTGTATTTGGATAAAGAATTTTGAAAATTTAAGAAATTTAAAATTTGAATTACTTTGATTTCAATTTTTATAATTTTCTAAAATACTTTGTTTAACAACCTCAATTCAAATTTTTAAAAATTTTAATTTTTTAGTTTGAATAAGACAATTTAATTTTCACTATAGATAAAACTAAATTTTTAAGATTAAATTTTATAAAACTAAATATTAGTTTTAAAAAATTAATAGTTTTAAAATAATTATTAGATAGTATTTAATAATTTTGAGTATTCAATAATTAAAAAATTATTATTATTTTTTTATGTCAAATTTGAAAAAGAGGAAAGACAGAGGAGAAAAAAGAGAAAGAAGAATTTTAATTTTCTTATTTTTTTGGGAGTTTGAAATTCTATATCTTTTATGGTGTGTTTGAATGAGACATTTTAGAAATTTAAAAATTTTAAATTTTCGAATTTGAATTAGTTTAATTTTAATTTTTATCATTAGAAGTTTTGAACAAGAGATAAGAGAGAAAAAAAAAAGGATTTTCAACGGTCACAGAATTGACTATATGAAATTCTAGTCATAAAAAATAAATTAATAAAATGAAATATAAAATTAGGTAGCTTTTATGTGTAGATCCATTGCAAATATTTCAACACTTGATTGACATACGATAATTCTAAATTCTTTCTATTTCTCTCATTCTCTCATATCATATAGTATTATAATATAATCTATCACTCTTTTTTGTTGTTTTTTTTTCTTTCTTTCTAGGTGTAGTTTAGCATTTGGGGTGCCCAATTTTTACCTAGCCCGGACCTAAGAAGAGACATGGTTAAAAAAAATCACTATTTGTTGGAAATAAGAAATCGGAAATATTTTTTTTTTATATACCAGAAGAAAAAAAATAACTTTTTTCTCAACTAGCATGAATTATAGGGAGAAGATATTTCCATTATTTATTTAAGAAAATAAATAAATAAATTTATAAATTAAAAATTAAATATAATAAATAATTTTATATTAGAAAATAATGGAGTATAAAGTGTAACTTGTTTAGATTAAATTTATATATATATTATACTAAACCTTATAATCCAAGTTTTGTATAATCCACTATATCAAATCTCTCAGGTTGGTGTTACTGTTAGGGCCCATTTTTCATTTATCTATTACTATTATTTACTTTTCCTTTGGGCCTTAGCATCGTTTCATTTATCTATTACTATTACTATTATTGCAACCGCAAAAAGTTACTATAAAGTTAAAAGTTTTTACTCGACATAATATAAAAAGATTTAGCCTATGCTTGCTTCAAACTCAAGTTTTTTAAAATTTTCAATGCATTAAATATTATAATTTTCACTTAATATTTTTTTTAACTAGTAACTTTCGTATAATGCATGAAAACCAATTACAAATCGAACACGTTAATTATTAAATGTATAATGCATAAGCTAACTCGGGTCTTAAAATAACTAGAAGATAATTGATACTCCGTGTTAAATGCCATTAATCCAAATGAATGAAAAATTGGTGCTTTGAGAATCTCATTTTCACGATTAATTTATTTAATTATTATTCCACTTTCCCAAAATTAATATATTTACCATCAATTATCCATCCTTATATATTAATATTAAATGGGGGTGATTATCTTGCTCAATAATAATTTTAGGAATTTATTTGAACAAAACATTTTTAGACATTTTCCTTTGATAAAAGGATTTTTAGATATTTTTTTTTAACTTTTTTTCTATTTCAAGTTTTATTTTTATCATATTTGTTTATAAATTAAAATTTAATATTTTAAAATAAATGATCAATAATTAAAAATAATCTTATATTACAATGTATATTATTTATCATGAGTATAGAATATAATTTATATGTACAAAAATATCTATTAATATAAAATTTTAAAATAATTTATATATTCAAATATAATATATACATATATATATATATATATTTTAATTATTGATTTTAGTTATGAATAAAACATTTAGTTTATACAATGAACATACTAATACTAGGTGAAAAACAAATTTAATAACTTCATAATCAATTATTACAAAAAGAAAAAAAGAAAAAAAAGAAGAAGAAAAACTTCTATCTATTTACAAAAGACGTTTACAAAACAATTAAATGTTTCATTTATAAAATTTAGGTAAACTTACTTTTAATTCCTCAAATTTAAATTTAATATTTTAATTGAATAATCTCAACAACAAAAATTAGTCCCCAACATTTATAATAGAGACAAATTGAAATCATCTATACAACATCGATTAAATTTAATAATATTTTTATTAATAAAGATACAAGTAAATTTTATATAACAAATTCAATAATAATTGGATTTTGTTTGGAAAATTTACTAAATCAGAACTTCAAAAGAAAACTAGACTAGCAAAAAAATATTTGTATTTTTTAACCAATATAAGATTTAAAAAAAAATTATTGTCAAGCTACTTTTTCAACAATGTCAAGCTATTTCTTATACTAAACTCAAACTAAGGGTAACCATGACCATAAGTTGTATTAATCATTAATACAAATAATTTAACATTTGTATTCCTTAACTCCTTAACCAAGGACTAAAGTTTAATCTCCAACTTAAACATAGAGTAATGACCAAAAATACTAATTTATCCTTATAAAGACCGACTCGGTAGAAAGAAGTTACACCTTATCTATCCAAAAGATAACTAAAGGTGACAAATTAACAAAATACTAAACCCTAAAGCTTACATGTATCCCAGTGTGTGCATAGTTTAATAAATAGTATCCATTGACTTATTACTGATTTTACTTCCCTAAGAAAAATTTTGTTACCACTAAGAATTTGTAGCTTGATAATATTGAAAGGCACTTTCATGGTGTCAAGTTCAATGACTTTGCATTGAGCCAACCATGGGGACGCGGGTAATAGAAGTGCAAAAGAATTAATCACATGTACCACATAAGATAACAATACAGTTCCCATGATACAAATTTGTCCACTGTCTATGATTGCTATTGCTGATAGAAGTACCTAATTTTTGACCACACATTCCAAATTTGTAGGAGCAATACACGACAACAAGACAACAATTGGTTTTTGCACATATTTCTTCGTGCTTTCTACAATTCATCGTTTTGGAGAACTTGGCAATCAGAGGTCACGTCCTCTTCAATAGGAAACCTAAAATGATGCCAATGATGCCAACAAGAACTACATACATGAATGGTACACCGCCGCGGCTTCTGCCGGCTTCGCGCCTCAAAACCTCCTGTGCATGGAAGATTCCAAACCAATTCATAAATTTCCATGAGAATTATAAAGCATAAATAATTGCAATGTGATGGGTTTATTCGCTGTCATCAAACCTTTAACAATTATGTTAAGTAATGACTACAATTTGGCTTCATTACTAATACTCTAATGGAAAATGATCTAGGATGAGTTTGTTTTAAAGTTGAGTAGAATTATCTTCTATAGAATATAATTGGTGATATGAATTGAGCTTAAACCAACTATTACGGACTGGACTTAAGCCTAATTCATATCATAGCTTTATTAAGTCCAAACACCTCCATAGAGTTGACCAAAGTCAACATCATCACCTGAGTAAAATTGTTACATGCACATGCCAATGTTACGTATAATCGCCCACAAGAAGCCTTAGGCCATGTGCTAAGGATTCTTGTCCAAGGTTGACACTTTATATACACCACGAGAAAAGGTACACATTTATAGCATCTCATCACTACTAACTAAACTAAAGCATCAAAATGTCTTTTGCAGGTAATCAATCCATTGCTTGGCTTGTATACTTCAGATTCAGACACATCAAAGTCTCGGTTGGAATCAAAGAATTCAGATAATCAAGCATTCAGTTCAGTCAAGTCAACAATCAACTCGGACCAGACAACAGTCTAGCACAGGTTCATCACCTCATCCACTCTCTAGATAGAACAATTGGGTATTTGGGATATGCGCCTTACATTAATTTCAACCACAAATTTACATTGGAGCATGTGGCACAGTATAAAGAATTGATTTTATGAGTTTGCCAAACAGGCATCTAGTCTGAGATGTGAAAATGAATATGAAGTGTTCAGAAGAGCGGAACATAGAACCAAGAATAATGTGAATTTAGAGCACAAGACTATCATGGCTCCTTACTTAGCAATGAACAAATTCAAAACATATCAATCAAGTGCCACCAGCCTGGTATGATTTCAGTGGGAAGTGACAACTAGAGGAACCTTGCAACAAGTCATCTAAAAAATAATCCTTGCTATTTCTCAGGTAGGTGATAAAATAGAAACTATAACTAAAATGTAAGGTGATTGGTCAAGGAGGTAGATAATTTCAGGATGTTCGATGGTCTACCAGAGTTGATTTTCAAACTATCAAACAACCAAACTAAAACAGTTCAGAAAATGAATAATAGAGCTAAGCCTATGAATAAAATGAAACTGAACCAAAATCTCTCAAGAATTGCACACTTGCATGTGTTTTGCTCAGTTTACTATTTCTTTTGATCTTGAAAACAAATTTAGTTTGGAAACAGGAAACTCAACAAGTTCCTTTTGGTTCACCTGCCTTGACTTTCCTGATTTTTAATTACTTATAATAAGACAAGGATTTTAAGACATCCAGATAACTTTGATGAATGAACATGCGACTAAGATGAACTCATTTTTTTGCAAAATGTAAATTGAAGCCTAAAGAGACATATTGAATCAGTTCATCATGAAAATAATTTGAAGCATTGAAAGTGTATGTCATCATAGGATACCATCAAGATCACCTATAGAAACATTCAAGATAACACATGTATAAGCATGCTCAAAAGAAAAAAATTCGGAATGAATTCCATACCAGTTCTTGCTGAAGTCTTTTATTTTGCTCAATTACAGAATTCCTCTCCTCAGTTGCCTTTGAAAGAATAGCTCTTGTCTGAAACAATAAGTTAAAAATGAGCTCCATTTTTTCTTAATTTGTATCTCACAAAGAGCAATCCTGAACTCGTCTTTGAGATAATAAAGATAACTGCTTCAATTAGGTTACCAGCAACTTTCTTCTGATAATAGAATTATCAAGTGCAAATAAATGACATGAATCAATTCACTTCAAACATTACTAGCAGGAGCGTTCCCAAATGTTGTGCTTAAATAGACAACCAAAGAAAATCACAGTAGCACGAGACTATGAAAAGAAAGATCACATACAAAAGGGCCAGAGCAATAAAACGAATCGACACATCAATGCATAAACTCAATAGGTAAGAATTTACGATTCTCAAAAACATTTGAAAGGTAATTCCTACCTCCCAAAATTAAATTAGAGTTATCATGATATTGATGTTTCTACAATGACATAAAAACCAGTCCTTTTGGGTTGGAGTCAAAAGGAGATGTTATTGCAGGCATGTTTGGATTGACCACCAACATCAAGCACTCGCTTTCCCAAATTAAAAGTACTCCATGCCACATAAAAGTTATAATGTTAACGGTTTTTCTATTTAATTGAAGAAACCTAATCCGAGAGAGATTATATGTCACCTCAAATGAAGTATCCTGGTGTTCACCTCGCTCATTGAAAGCTTTTGAAGCCTACAGTGCATGTTTATCACAACAATTAATAAACCAAAAAGATGAAAAATTGTCTGAAAATATATGCAAACCCACTGGTAACATACCCCTGCAAACTCCAAAGCTCTTGAATGTCCATTTTCAGATACGGACGCTCGAGGTGATGAATCCTCATCAGATCCTTCTCGAACTGGGGACGGTGGTTGAGGAGGAGCAACATAAACAACTCTTAACTTGCACTCTTCAACTTCATGACCAGATTCTTTATTGAACTATATAAATAAACACAGAAAACCATCAAACTGAGCAATATGTTACACATGTAATTATTCTATCAAGAGAAAAAATGAGTAATTTGTTGAATGGATACCATTTCTGGAGTGATATCTTTTGTAGTTGCCCCAGGGCTTGCAACCACACTTTGAAGGAGAAACTTATCCTTGCATTGCATGTCAGGTGGTGCCTCTTTTTGAGCTTGCATTGTTACTGAAAAATATAAATAAGACACCAATAATCAATACATAAATGGGAAAGTCACTTAAAGTATTGCACAGAAAAATGGGGGAAAAATAAAACTTTAGCAACAATTAACCCAAAAAACTAATAATTCAAAATATTTCACCGAACATAACCACACATAATCAAGTAAAAGATCTATTCTCTTTGCATGCAAGTGTGCCAGAGGGAAGATAGAAAGAGATAGAAAAATAAACCTATAATATCACATGAAGACCTAGGCATCACCACTCCAGTGTTAGGTCTGACACAATATTTCTTAGGATTTGTTGTCTTAACCTGCAAAACCATGAAATTCACCCCAAATCACAATTCAAAGTCCATAGCACAATAAAAATAAAAGGAGTATACCCTAATAAAGGATATAAATAAATTAAAAGTAAAATAAAACATCAGAAGTGAGTCAGAAGGAAACATGAAGAGTAAAATTGGAACCTTGAAAGCCACATAGTTATCAGTCTTGTTAGACAACTGCAAAGAGCATGAGATCTGCTTCCTCAATTCAACTATTTTCACAAACCCAGAACCCAGAAAATTAAAAATAAAATAAAAATTAGAACAAGACCCAGAAGCAGAAACCAAAGACAAAAGTCAAAAAATTGAATTTTGCGGAGAAAAGTAAACATCTTTATTGAATTCCGAATAGACTCACAGGGAAACTGCAGCTCCTGGGGCTGTATGTGGAGGAGCTCGCCGGAACTCATGGCGGCGGGATCGGCGGCGATCGGCGGAGAGAGAGATCAATGTCAGTTTCCCGGCGAGAGAGAACGGTTGTCGTAGGTAGAGAGAGTCGCAAGTTGCAAAGCAACAACGTGGGACACCGTGTGTTTGTCTTTGTAAATATTTTACATACAAAGCATCGAACTGAAGGGTAATTTCGTCATTTCCTTGTTCAAAATCATGACATAATAACTGGTCCCATCTTTATGACTAAAAAGAAGAGAGAAAAAAAAAAAAATTAACACGGTAGGAGACTAAATTGACTAAAATATTCAAAATTATAATTGGTCCCATCTTTATGCTTAATATAATGTAAATACCATGCGTTATAACTTTTAATAGAATGGTTTATCTATTAAATAACCAAATGCATGGATAAATTAATGTAAATTATTTTGATAAATTAATAATTTAATATTAAAAATAGTAATTTTACCACTCATAGTTATCATATTTAACTTATATAATATTTTTTTCATAAAAATACATTATCTAAAAAAATTATATTATGGTAAATAAAAATATGTCCATCATGATGTGCTTCTTTCTAGTTCTTCCTCCATCATCATGATATGCTTTTTTACTTGTGTAAATTTGTTTCTCTTTTATTTTTTTTTTCTTTCCAAGGTTGATATTATTCTTTGTTGGTTTGTTAAAATAAAGTATATATTCTGTTTTTGGAAGGTTTTGTTTGAGTGGACCGGTTTATTCAAGCACAAAGTATTTTAAAAAGTTTTGTTTGAATGAGTCGTCTGGTTTCCAGTCCACTATTGAATTTTAAGGTTTTGCTTGAGTATTTTATGGTTAACTAGATAAATTATTTTTTAAAAATATTACAAAACCTTTATAAGTTTTTTAAATCTGTAAATTTTAACTTCTTATAAACATTAAAAAAAAATTCTAATTTTTTTTAAAATTTTAGATTACTTCTTTCAAAAGAAAATATTAATGAATTTGAACGATCTGGGACAGTGTTTTGATTTATTTATATATTTTTATTTATTGTTGAACAAATTTGAATCTACATGTTGGTGTACTTTGGCTATATAATAATTAATTCGAGTCCACGAGAACGTAGTGAAGCATACCAAAAAATGCAAAAAATAATTTGTGAGGGTACATTATTGGGAGAAGGTTTCCATGTGCTTAAATTGATTGCTGATATCTTTGCAATTAATAACGATGCATTCAATTGGATGCAAATATTTGTTGGCACACAAACTACTAAATTCATGTCCCGATGAAAGTTCTTATTCACTTGAAAATGATATTTTTATAATGGGTTTTCTATATACGTTATGTCACCTAATATATTATCGATGTAGAGTTGTATAAACAATTTTATCCACTCTTCTTTTTTAGATGAATTTTATGAGGATCATGAACTAATACCAATATATTCGTGTCAGCTTGAAAATAGTACACTTGATAGTGATCAATTGAGTTGCTTCCATTCCATGAACACGAACATACAATAGATGATGATTCATTTAATAAAAGGAGGAGATATTATGTAGGTTGATTTTGACAAAATTTACGGCTCCTTTAATTCTGAATACGTTTATTACGTTTATCAAATTACACGTTGAGGAGAAAAAATATACTAATTAACTTTAAAAAATATTTTATAAATAGAAAACATCACATACACAACTACTATAACATGAGTCTCATCAAACGTTATCAACTTAAAAAGGTGATGGAAATTAATACATAAACCAATACAATTCAAAACTATAATTTAAAATACCAAAACTATAATTTAAGATATCAAAATTACTTAATATATAGGAGGGGACTAGTAAAACAATTTTTTTCATATTCAAAAATTAGTTCTTAAGAATCATAAATATTGATAATCACGAATCTCAAGAATGATAAAATCTATTTGATTGTTCATAACTTTTAGAATATTTATAAATGTTACTTCAAACATTTTTATTACACAAACTAGGAAAATTAAACAATACAATATTTTTACTATAAAACATTCCTTCTCAAGAATGTTAGAATCTCAGTTTCTTTGCTCACCTACTTCATAGTAACAATTTGGTGGAAAACTTGTATAAATTTTTTTTCAAGAAGCTATATTTCCTAGAAATGTTATATTTTAAATGATAAATCAAATGTGAGAAACTAATATTTTTAATTTTAATTTTTTGGAAAAGCAAAAAATATTCAGGATACCAAATATCCTATATTATTAAGAAAATAATTAATAAAATCAAGTCTAAATATTTTACTTATCAGAATAATACAACCTAAAACTTGAAAATAACAACTACTTATGAGGCTTAAGCAATGATGGATCTAGAACCTATAGTCAATAGGAATATTAAATGTAATGAGTTCAAATATATTTAGTTAAAAAGGTGAAATATAAAAACTTAACATATTTATTTGTGGTGAGTAAAAAATAGTGCGAGTTTAAAAACATAAAATTAGGAGGGGTAAAATATAATTTTCTTTTTAGATATTTGTAAGTATTTTTTTAAATTAAAGAGGTGTACCAATACATCTTGACCATGCCATTGAACTTAAGTATACTCTCTAAGGCCAACTTTAGAGACTAAAATATCATTTAATCTTATGATGAATATATAAGTAGTTGAAAATGATCAAATAATATGGACTAAAAATATATTTTCAAAATTTTATGGATGGAAAAAATAATATATATATATATATATATATATAGGGACCAAAATAAAAATTCTCTCACTTTACATACACTAAAAATATATTTTAGTCATTACATTATTACTTATATACCTATTTTTTTTATTTTCTAAATATAAAATTTTGATACAATTATATAATCTTTTTTATTTTTAACTTTTCTATGTATTTTATTCATAAAAAAGTAAATATATTTTTTGTCTCTCTAGAATTTTTCAAGTTTGGGTTTAGTCCTTTAAAATTTTTGCCCTATTTTGATTCTTCTAATTTGAAGATGTATTACTTTTGGTTCTCAAAGTTACTTAATAACACCTTATGATAAACTATAGCATATAAGTAAATTGAAGGGAAAATGTAGTATATCTTCTTGAGATTTGTTTTATAACATTATGTTATTTGTTTAGTATAATTAAACATGTTGTTTTTAAATGAATCATGCATCTAATTTTATGTTATAAATGTTTATATTTTAAAATATTTGTATAAAGATTCATACTAACAAGTTATTAATTTGAGTGTCATTGGACTCGATCCTCTTGAGTAATGTATCATTATAATCAATTTAATTCTCTGATAAAGATTAATCATCAGTAAAATTGATATATATTTTGTACCAATATTATAATTATCAAAAAATATATATAAGAATCCATATTTATCACTTTATTTAAGACTCATAAAATATTAAAATCTACTCTACTCTTCTCTAATATCATGATCGAATTTCAAATAAACATCACTATCAAATGACCTTCAACCAAAACAAATAAATAAAAATAAGAATAATACATTCTCATATCATGTTGAAAGTATATAATTAATAATAGATAAATCACATGCATTCACATAAATAAACTCCCTTAGTTTATGGTATATTGAAGAAGCACTAATAATCATGCATGTTTTAACTCCAACTCATGAATTGATTTAGAAGCGCATTGCCTACCATAAAAAGCGCCATTAAGACAAAAAGTGCTTCTTTCTCCTAATATTTTATAATATTTGTATATTAAGGATTTGATTATTTTGCCTTGATCTATTAAGTTTCAGGACCATCATGAATTTATTGCCAACCCTTATAAATTATCTTCACAATAATTACAGCATCCAGCAATGTCAAAATAACAACTGATATTTTCAACTTCAAACTCGTGATTTTCGACTCTCGTACTAGTCTGGAAAAGGACACATGATTAATCACAGTCAACTATGTTATCTTTAAGCTAGCTTTAATCTATTAGCACAAACTTGCACACTCAGCAAGTCAAAACTGAAGAAAGCTCTAATACCGAATGCCTCGAGCAGAGATTCATTCAGAAACTTGCTTTTGGACTAACAGCAACCCATAAGGATTACACTGACGGTAACCCAACAAAAGCAACTTTCAGTTAGGCATTTCGATGAGTAATTCGGTATAATACAAAGTAAAACATAAATTCTTTGAAGAACTTTAAAAGATAAAAATGAGTTTTGTAGAGGGCAAAAACACCGTTCGCTTTAAAGCAACAGTTCACAAAAAAAATTTAGAATTCATGGTCAGGGATGGCAAAAATACCTGCATCCGCTATGGATAATAAATAGATAGGCTAATTAAGTACCCGCAGATAATGAGAATGGATAATTTTTTACCCATTTATAAACGGGGCGGAGGCGAGTATGATGATATCCATATCTGCGGGTACTTGTTTAATAATATTTCTTAAATATCCTAATTATCCTTGTACCACATAACCCTAAAACTACACTCTCAAATTATTTTCTTACAAAAATGAGGTTGATGAAATTACTAACATGTGTTAAGCACGTCATAAAATTATGTTAGATGTAATTTAATTAATTTTCTAGCTTTGATTGAAGCAATAATATTTATGTATTTTAAGTTGTTTACTTTCGTTTGAAATTATAAGATTGAATTATTGTATTGATTGGACCAATAAAATTTATGTATTTTAAGTTATTTACTTTGGTTTGGAATTATTAGATTGAATTATTGTAGCTTTGTGATGAGACATTAACTTATTTGTGAGATTAGTGTATTTTAAGTTATTGATTATCTTGCATTTTTATTATTATTTCAACAAAATTAACGTCAAATACAAGTTCAAAATTAACATTGAATTTTTATTTTTAATATTTCAATTACATTAAATATAAACTTAAAATTATTTGTAATATAATTTTTTTTAATTTTTTTAAAAATTTATAAATATCCATAAATATCTGTAGGTATTTAAGAAATTCATGAATACCCGCTTAATGGATACCCGCTCAGATATGAGGTAAGTATGGGATCAATTTTCATTCAGCAAAGCGGGGGCAGGTAGGGCCCATTGCCATCCCTATTCACATTTAACAGTTTCTTGTCCCTCCCATTCATAATGAATCTTTGATTTCATACATCTCATTCATCCAGATTCTGAGCACTCCATTTACCAAGTATTAAAGACGACCAATAAACATCACACTTGTTCTATGCTTTGTTATTTTTCAAGATGCCTATTTAGAAGCAGATCGATGATAAACAGAGCAGAAAGAAAGGCAAGGTTACACCAAAACAAAAACCAAATAGACAAGACAGATCTTTATCATTTATGAAATAAAGGAATACGTGCCTTGTTTCAATCTAGATATCATCATTATCGATATTGTACATTCTATTTGGAAAAAAACAAAATAATAAGTAACTAATACAACTTATCTTATTACCTATTATTATCAAAAAATAATAAATCCACAAACTTTTCCTTAAAACCAACCACTATAATTCTTCCATCTTCATAAATTGAGGTACAACCGTACAATACAGATAAACCAATTTGTTCACAACTTGAAGATAAGACACGAACAAAACAAATATTGATACGGCATAAATCCCAGTGATCAAGCAAGTCTTTTATGCAATTTACTTATGTATGTATCTATTATATGTGTGCCACTATCACTATGGTATATGGATGGATGGAAAACACCTATAACTAATCTTGGACCACATCTACTTAATTTATAATCTGTCACTTTCAAAATAATTTTACAATGGTACTAATAACTAATCACAGCACTAGAAGTATCAGAGGACAATTGTTGCTTACGAGCTCGTGCAGCCAAGCCAGCAAACCAAGCAACTCTCATCAACTGAAGACCGAGAATTAGCACCCACCAACAAACCAACCCCCTAATTGTATGCATCACCCATGCTGGTGCACTAAGCTCAACACCGAGCTTTAATCCCCTCATTAGTTGCAAGACACGGTAAGACTCATAAATGACAGGGGTAACAAGCCAGACTGGTGATTGCCAATGCCAAGTTAACATCTCAGTCAGAAACTGTACTGACAAAAGAAGAAGATAGGGACCAAGGAGAACTGCAAATGAGATGATAGGTAGTTGAGGTTGGAGAAAGTTCTTCTGAGATCCAAACATCATCAACAATGGGATAATAAACCCAGTAAGAGTTGCAACAACGTTCCAGAACTGGTAACTGAAGGGAGCCTTGCTTTTGCAGTCTTGTGTTGGATACTTTGGACGTGAACAAGCGTCAGCCATGAGGAGAAAAAGGGTTGCACCAAGGTTAAATATAAAATCAAGTCCAACTAAGGAAAGTAGGCTGGCTATATTGGGGCCAAGAAAGATAGATGATATTGGTAACCATAACGTTGGGGCCATGCCAGTTGCAAGGAGAACTGAAGGACCCAGAAGCCACAATGGCCACTTGAAAAACTGAAGCTGCAGCCCCGGCTGTGATATTGTCTCTACGACCCCTTCAGCATTTGTTGTTGATGAGTCAGCTGTTTTATTGGATTCAAGAGTTTCAAATATATTGGCGCTTTGCTGCAAAAAAGTATCACTTTGATTATCAGTAGGAGCATACGTGACAGGTGATGACTCCCATGGAGTTAACTTAGTGCAGCATACGTAGGTTTGATTAATGTGAATGCTAGGAAAGGCGGATTGTTGGGGTTGGAATAGTTTTCCAGATTTCAATAATCCTTGGCTTCTGGATTGCACCCTTCTGAAAGTGGCGGTATGTACTCCATAATGGGCTTGAATTAATGATGCCATTCCTGTATTCATTCTTGACTACAGATACTCTAAAGGGTTTTATGCTCTTTGTTCTCTTGCACCTGAAATTAAGAAATTGCAAAGTGTAGATGATAAACACAGTTAACCTCCAAAAAAAAAAATTTTGGACTGTTGGAGTGAGAAAGTAATGTGATAACAAAACATACATCAACATCATGGATGCTACCTTAAGAAGAGAATAAGTCTAGATTTAAAAGGAAATATGAAGAACAAATAAAAAATTTATTCAAGAGATATGGACAAAGTGAATTACAGGACCTCTACTACCTAATACTGATTATAAGAGCAGAAAGTGGCACACAAATAGTACAGTTCTCCAAAATGAGATTGGGACACCTTCAGTTACACCAGATATCCCCTGATAAGATAAAACTAAAAATCAAGTCTATTTTCTAGTTCACTTTCATTTTCTTTTCTCACCAGCTCCGAACAAGCAAAAAAGTGGAAGATATACTTCTAGTGTAACAGATACAATTCCAGGTGAAAAACAGAAACTAAGACAGATTTCAGAGTAACAAATTCATAAAGTGAAGGTTTAAAGAATGGTGCTAGTTGCAAAGCTAAACAAAGAAAACCAAAAGGGAAATCTATTACATGAAATGGGTATACTAAAATAGCATTGAGTCAGATCAATAAGTGCAAGCAGTTGGTTAATCAATATCACATCATGCAATACAATCGAGTAGTTTTCTAAATTAGCTAGTTAATTTCTTCATTTCTTAACAAATCACTCAGCTTAAATGCCAAAGAGGTAAGCTGAAACACAAAACTAGTCAGTCAGCACAGCAAGAACTAAAAACAAGTCAGCTATAAATTCTTAGGATTTTATTAAGCTGGAAACACAATCTAGTTAACTGTGAAAATTTCTAGTAGACCAAGAATAGATAACAAAAAACTTGACTATTTTTTCATGAAAAATACAAAAAACTTGACTATTTTTTCATGAAAAATAGAGTACACATAATGAAAAAACAATTTTGTCAACGGAAAACCAAATATACTGAACTTGAAGCGCAATCTGGAAAATGAAATTTGAACTTTAGTCAGCTAAAAACCTCTGAATTTTAAGATAAATTTTTTATCAACAGAAAACCAAATCTACTTAACTTGAAGCACAATCTGGAACTTGGAAATTGAATTTTAGTCAGCTAGAAATCTCTGAATCTGAAGATTTCAGACAGTCAAAGTTTAAACTTACTGAGACTTATGCCACCAGTATACTCATTCTGTTTCAAAATACCAATTATTTAAGTGGCATTTGGCATAAGAAATATCTCATTCTTAACTAAATTACATTACTTGAAATGAGATTTTAAGCAACAGGATTCTCGTTCCTGGGAAGTATTTTTTCCTTCTTCTACTAAACATGAGAAACTTTATTCCCATTCCACTTTCCCAAGAATGTCCAAACATTCCTTATCCCAAAAGGAACCTTAGGGTAATGACCTAAGAAATAAAAAAGTTATCTCCAATTGTACAACAAGCACAAGCAAACCCTATATATATATATATATATATATATATATATATATATATATAATACATTTGACTAAATTACACTTTATTATCTAACTAAAAATATTATTACCCCATTAATGCCCTGACTCTGTTATTCCACTTGACAGATATACCTAAAAGGATAAAATTGTCAAAAATATAAGTAGAGTGTTCTTAGCTTTCTTATGCACAAACGTGTGTTAAGTGGCCAGAGCATCACCAGAATCAAATTCATCGTGGTAGCAACCAGTTTAGCTAAACTTCAATACCCCTTTCCATCGAGTTAATACTATTATTTTTCTAATAAACATTAAACATCGGTAAATACTAAATAAACAAATATTATATTCACAATTCCCTCAGGTCTATTAATTCACAATTTCACATATTGCAACTCTTAATTTTAGAACTAACAAGTCTATTAGGGCATACCCTAATCTCTTTGACCATGATACAGTTAGCGTCGAAAACCAAGAAAAGCTCATGGACCAAACAGGGAACAACAGAGATACGAAAAAGTAAAATGAAATTGAGAGGAAAATAAAAGAAAAACAGAAAGAGAGTGACCTTTGGGCGAAATCGCATGGGTTTCAAACGAACATTCTCCAAAGGTTGTGTTATCAGCTTTTAATTGATGTGGAGTAAAACAAAGAGAATACTTTTGTTCCGGCGAAAAAGTATATATAAACAAATGACTACGGTATCCAAAGTTTCAATACATTTTTATATATAAACTTATAAAAAATTTTAAAAAATTAATTTAATTATAAAATAAATAATCTAAATTATACTTATAAAACAAAAAATAAAATAAAATTATAAAGATTAAAATTATAAGATTTCAATAATATTATAAAATATTAAAAAAGAAAAAAATTAATAAATAGTAGAAATAAAAAGTTATTAAAATTACAATATAGAAATTCAAAAATTTAAGACAAAAAGACAAAAAATATACTTAAAAAATTATTAAAATTAAAATATAGAAATTCAAAAATTTTAAGTGAAAAGATAAAAATATACTTAAAAAATTATTAAAATTAAACTATTTAAATATATAATAATATTATTACAAATAAATTAGAATATATAAAATAAAAATAAAATGACTAAATAATTTAAAAATTAAAAAAATAAAATATCATAAATATTATTTAAATAAATTATTAAAAATATAAATATAAAAAATTGTACCGGTACTCTCTCAAATAAATGAGTACCATAGAATTTCTCTTATTTCAAATATATTCTCGACTCTTTACACATATATAATTGTATTGTAAATCAAAATTTACCGTAATTAAATATATCATAATCTATCACTTTTTCTCTCCACATTTATTATTAAAAAAATTAATAATTTTTTAGTAATTATCATTTTTTTTAAAAATATTTATCCATTCTATTATTTTTATTATTTAACTAATTTTATTTTTTAATAATCTATTTTTATATATTTTATTTTCATTTATTTTTAAATAAAATATAAAGACATGAAATATCTTAATTCCATAAATCATAATTAAATAAATTTATTTTATCAATCAATTTGAAAATAATTATGGTAATTATAAAGGAATATTTCATAAAATTTAATAAATTGATTGTCGTATTATATATAATGAAAATCAATATAAGATCTAATTTTTTTTTTATTTTTTTTATTTTATATTTATACTAGTCTATAAGGAAATATTCTTTATAGTAATTATTTTTTATCTCTATATTTAGTAGATTATTATATCTTCTTATTATTAAAAAAAATTAATAATTTTTTAGTAATTATCATTTTATTTAATAACTACCTATTCTATTATTTTTATTATTTAACTAACTTTATTGCTTAATAATCTAAATTTTTTATTTTATTTTTAAATAAAATATAGAAACATAAAGTGTTTTAATTCCACTAATTATAATTAAATAAATTTATTTTATTGATCAATTTGAAAATAATTATAATAATTACAAAAAAAAATATTTCATAAAACTTAATAAATTGATTGTCGTATTATATATAATGAATATTAATATAAGATCTATTTTTTTATTTTTTTTATTTTATATAAATATATATTCATTGTAATTAATTACTATAAACACGTATTATAAAGTAGAAAATAGATTATGATAAAATAATAAATGAATAAAATAAAATAATAAAGTAATAAGAATAATAAATACAAACATGATTATAATTTTTATTACTATTAGCAGTTAAAGTAATATAATAATTTATTATCGTTATTATAATACATATTTATAGTAAATTATCATAAAATCACAATAATAAACAGAATATATATATA